GCTTTTGGTCCGTGAATTAGATCTCGCTCGGGACGCGCGCTGTCTGTGGAGGTTTGGCCAGGACCGGTTCCAGAATTAAATCAACATATTTTATGTTCCGTCCATTGCCAATCACTGCTATTTCGAGAGTGAATCCCGCATAAGTATGCGGACGTCATTCCCGGAACTTTGCAGGATGTAGCCTGTGTCCGAAAAACGAAAGTTTCATACAAATTCTGAATGGATTATACCCTAGAAAGTGCGCAAAGAGTGCTCCCTTTATCACTAAAAAGCATCCCTCATCTTCGTTCATCGCGATCTTACAAAGTTCCGTTATAATCGGTGAAGCTCTCTAAACTGCACAATGAATCTCTTATTTACATCGCGTCTGCACTTAGTCATGAGATGATTCACGAGCGTGCAAAACTACACTAAAAACTGCAGCGTTTTCAGCGGTGAGTGAATTCTGACAAAATGTTTCTGATTGGCCATTGCGTTCAAGAAATCAACATATGTCTGTTAATGTCTGTTACATTGCTCAACGCTGCAAAAACATGTTGAAGGTATTTAGCGCTTGGCTAAGCGCTCCAATTGCAGCGGGCTGACATCAGGGATTCCATGACTAACAATTTGGGGGGGCAATTGCTTATGTCGCCCATGTCTGTGCTATTAAACCAGTCAAATTTAACTAAATTGCTCGACAAGATTCTCAATCTGTTGCTCCCACCATGACAGTAGTCGACCTGGAAGAGAAAACTGACATTTACATGAAAGTCCATTATAGTGCCCCTTGTGGCGACGCTGAGAATGCAATGTGTTTGCATTTTCATTAGAGAAACAAAGCTGATCAAAACTTTGAATCAATTGCTTGATTTACTGTCTTCAAAGCATTCGACAGTATAAATACAGTATAAATACAACAAAATACCCGCTGGTGGCGAACCACCAAAATTTCAAAGCATTTTGAAACAGTTCTGACATAATGAAGCCTCACTTACTGAAATAATATGATTTTGACAGCTTGCAGCGTGCTCCATCGTTTTGTTTTGAATCATTGATTCAAAACAAAACGATTTGCAAAGGTTTCGAAGCCTCACAAAACAGTGTTTCGAAAGCGTCCATCGCTAGTTCACGTACTTGGAAGAGTATGTTTCAGGCCGTAAGTGAAAAGTACAATCAATAAATACACCTGTATACAAGACAATGAAAATATATGGTACAGTGCGGAATGAAATTAGCTTTTGTGCTGTTCGGTTAAAGCTTTTGATGATTAATGCATGCTCTGCTCGCAGCAGGACAACCAAAAACAACACACTGCTTTTTCCACACTATCAAGCCTAAGCACACAACCCATAAAACACTGTTTGCACTGAAAGACAAATGGCAGATGAGAGCGAGGTAGATGGGGAGAGAGGGAGGACGTTGTGTGGCTAGGGCAGCTAGGTAGTCTTGAAGGTCACAGCTGTGCTTTGCAGCTCCTTTGTTGGACTATATTTAGCGCAGCCCATCTGATCTGGAGTAATGGAGGAGACAGAGAGAGAGACGGGAAAGAGAAAAGGACTCCAGGTGCACCACCACCGTTGAGGCACTCCAAAAATCGGCACGTGGCCAAAGATGACAGGTCCGGCCCGTGACCTTTATTGGTCACCGTAAACAATAGCGGGCGACATCCACGGACTGCAGAAACTCTCCATCTCTGCAGGACTGGGCCGCCACATGTGGTCCTGTTTTATTCATGACAATGACGAATATCTTTCCCAGCAATTACTGTGTGGCTCAATAAAAAACCTTGGCTGATGACATTGAGGATAAGTGTGTGGCATAATGCATTATACCTCAAAGTATTAAAGCCATCACTGTCCACTCGAGGGTCTTTACGGATCCCATGATCCTTAAAACCGACTATGAGAGAAAAAAAATTGCGGTTACCAATTATACTCTATTTCGAAGAAATATTACATTCTGGGACGGGAATTTGATGAGTATTTTGGTCTACAGGAAGTTGTGTAATTCAGTAGTTCTCCAACTGGTTTTGAATCAGGACCCAAATTTTCCATCGGAATTTAGTGCCTACCTAACAGTACCATTTTTTTTTAATACAAAACTATAAAAATGTCCTATTTTATTCCTTGAAATGTATCAAAATTACTGGTTTCGAGAATAAGAGCATGTTCATGTTGGCATCTGCCTAATTTGGTTTGCGCCCACCAAGTACCCAAGGAATTTGCGCCAAAATATTGGTCTGATTGGATGTTGTACTGACATCATAATCATACAACCTTTTGTCCTCCCTTTCAGGAGTTGATCCTACTTATTTTGCAAAGCACCAGTTTCAAAACACTGGTGTGATTCTCTAGTTTTCAAATGAAAGAGAAAAGGGAGGAAAGAACTTGGTAGGACGTCTTAAACACAGTCTTTTCTACTTGTTAACTGACTGACAATCCTGCTTTTTCCACTCTATTTTCCACTAAAATCGACTTGTTGGAAAAATGCTGGATCTTGCTCTTTCACTCTGAAAAGGTTAAAACAAAGGAGGTCTACAATACTTCCCAATGGCAGTTGTTCAGCAAATGCCATTTGACTAATCACTCTGAAAGCACCATGACTCCTCTGACTGACTGATGGCACCATAAGAACGCCAACAGACCCAACTTTGTGACATGAAAGGTAGCAGACAGGCAAAAAATATAAATCGATTTTGATTTATATGCATGTGTCTACTCTTATGTTCTCAGGGTGACAGGAAATTCTGCTGCATGTTCTCAAACATCCAGTCTAACAGGGTTCTCTCAAAGTTGTGACCAAACGTCTTCCATATAATTCCATAGAATGTTTGTTAAAACTTGTGCGTTCTAGAACTTTGCACAAAAGCATTTATAAATTGTTCATGTAATGTTTTGTCTGAAACGTTTTAGTTGGATGTTCAACTACTTGTTTCAGAACGTTCATAGAACATTCAAAAGTAACATTCCCATAATGTTTGCAAAATGATGACAGTTTCGTAACTTAATGGGAATGTTAAGTAAACATTTTTAGAACAGCTAGGAACCCTTCTTTCCACTAACAGTGCCATGCCCATTCTGGCACCATTTCACGTTTCCACCTAAGAAAAGTTGGATCTGGGACGTAAAAATTGGCTTCTCAAATCGTTCCAGTCCGTTAAACCCATTGGTTCCTGAACCAGGAATTCAGTGATGACGTCCATACCACAAAAGGCTTTCAAACCAACAACAATCTAGCTGGATTGAGGGGCAAAAAGGCAGCTGCCTAAGCTTTCAGGACGCAGCCTCTGTCTTCAAAGATTCCAATTTCTGGTGACTTTTCGCACACAATGCAGGTGGTGCTTCAATCCTCTTGGATGACTTTCAAGGATGGTTGGCTGAGCAGATGTGCCAGTATTACCGAGAACTCTCTGAGGCAGAGAAGAACTACTACAAAAGATGTTAAAAGCAGCATGTTTTCGCCTGCACCGCCAAACTGACAGCACAGGTCCTTTGGAGTATGTGTGTATTTGTTGTTTTTCAACAGACACCCCTATTTTAGTTTTCGCTCAGTAGGAAAGAGGTAACACACAGCTGAGACCAGTCCTTTGAATTCGCATTAGAAGTGAGAATAAATGGATGGATGTTTGATGTCACAGATGCATGCTGGGATTGGGCATACAAACCAACGAATTTCCTGTTCCCAAGTTGGTTTGTTGGGCTTCAGCCAGAGGTGAGAGATGTTGGGATGATGAAATGAACAACTAGCTCAGGTAAAGCAAGAACACCATTTCAGCACACTACACACACATTAGGTTACACCAATTTGAGAAGCGCCCACATCACATGCTTTAATGCAAAGCTTACAAAAGCGTTAGTTTGGTTAGCTATGTTCGGGACGCTGCGTTAACCGGACCCAAACACTTACACTGGCCGGGTTCTCTGAGCCGTCGGCCCTGTGGCCCTGATTCAAAACAAGAATCAGAAGAAACTTCATGAACACTCACACACCTGAGGATCTGCAAACATGTGTGTGGTCAAATCTGGCTTGTGGGAAGTGTGTAATTTCTTCGCCTAAAACATATTGTTCGATAACAGTAAGCAACCCTAATTGGAGCCTAAAGATGTCTATTGGGCCGCTCAAAGAAACAAATGAAGCCTGTTTTCATAGTGCCCGAGAGTTTAATCTCTTCATAAGTCAACCTACAAATGGCCCACTGATGCTTCAAAGTATTTTACCGGCGAAAAAATTACGCACTTCACCTTTAAATTTAGGGTTTCATTTAGGAGGTTGGCACATTTGCAGGGAGATGAAATTCCTTCCTTCCTCTACCGCTGTCCCACCCTGGTTTATCTATCTAGGACACTTCCAATTTACAGGAGCGTTTTGTCAAGCGCTGCGGTACCGTCTGACAGAGGCTTCTCTCATCATCACTCTCTCTCGTCACAAGGCTGTTCTCATATCAGCGGTGAGCAGGCCTGCAGCTCCAGCTCTTGAAGCTGAAATACACCTCAATCTGATGAATATTATAAAGACAGGAGGACCTAAAAATTGAGGTGAAAAAACCTCGAAAACCAACTATTTGGAGATTATTTGGCTCCGAAAAGTGGTACATTTTCGTCACGTGTGTCGGACCTCTGATTTCATGTTTA